CGGTGTACCAGAGAGGACGCTGAGCCCCGAAGGAGGGTGGACATCAGACAGTGTGCCAGCAAGGACGCTGGCCCCGAAGGGGAGGGTGGACATTGGACGGTGTGCCAGCAAGGACGCTGGGTTCCGAAGGGGGGTGGATACCGGACGGTATGCTAGAGAGGACGCTTGGCCCTGAAGGGGGGGTGGATTGTAAGATCCCACATCGGTTGGAGAGGGGAACAAAACATTCTTTATAAGGCTGTGGAAACCTCTCCCTAATAGATGCTTTTTAAAAACCTTGAGGAAAAGCCCAAAGAGGACAATATCTCCTAGCGGTGAACTTGGACGGTTACAAGTAGTTGAGTGTAAGTTAATACATTTGGGTTTAATACACTAAAAGAGAGACACGTTAAGAATTTAGGTTGCAATTTTAAGAAAGCAGGTGGGAGGGATATTTTTTAAACAAAGCACAATGTTCAAGTATATTTCTATAATTGGAATCAATTTAATTGTGTAACCAAATACTGTAAGTTATATGTAATGGGATATCAACACTTCTAACCGTTCCAAAAAAATTATATCAAACTCATACATTGTGTGAGTTCTAAGAATTTGGAGGGTTGTAATTTTAAGTGAATACATCTTTAAAGGGACTATTAGCTCTTCTTCGATGGGATACTTTCAGGGAGTTGACACTGCGCATGTTGTGTAGTTCTGACGAGGGGTTTTTCTTTGACACACGCAGCAATAGTGGTTGTTTTTCCTTGATACTTTTACTTTGAGTTTACAATAAGTTATTTTCTTTGGATCTTAGCGAACTATATATCTGTTTTCATCGGAGTCCTAATTATAAATCTTGAATGTGCGGTAGGTAAAACATGGCTGCTCCTGCAAAACCTACAAGGATTGGCCTTGCTGGTCTAGCTGTGATGGGTCAAAACCTGGCCCTCAACATTGCAGAAAAGGGCTTCCCTATTTCTGTGTATAACCGAACGACCTCCAAAGTAGATGAAACAGTTGAACGAGCTAAGGTAGAAGGAGACCTTCCTCTCTATGGCTTCCATGATCCTGAATCTTTTGTTCAATCAATTCAAAAACCCCGTGTCATAATCATGCTTGTTAAGGCCGGGGCACCAGTTGACCAAACCATTAAAACCCTCTCTGCTTACTTGGAGAAAGGTGACTGTATAATTGATGGTGGTAATGAATGGTATGAGAACACTGAGAGGAGAGAGAAAGCCATGGCTGAATTAGGTCTGCTCTACCTTGGAATGGGAGTTTCAGGGGGTGAAGAAGGTGCTAGGAATGGTCCTTCTTTGATGCCCGGAGGATCATTTGAGGCCTTCAAGAACATCGAGGACATTCTTGTTAAGGTTGCAGCCCAAGTTCCCGATAGCGGTCCCTGTGTGACTTACATCGGCAAAGGTGGATCAGGTAACTTTGTCAAGATGATCCACAATGGAATAGAATATGGTGATATGCAGCTGATTGCAGAGGCATATGATGTTTTGAGATCTGTGGGGAAGTTGTCAAATGAGGAACTTCACCAGGTTTTCTCGGAATGGAACAAAGGCGAGCTTCTAAGTTTCTTGATTGAAATCACTGCAGACATTTTCAGTATCAAGGATGACAAAGCCGATGGCTACTTAGTTGACAAGGTTTTGGACAAGACTGGTATGAAGGGTACCGGTAAGTGGACTGTTCAGCAAGCTGCTGACCTCTCAGTTGCAGCCCCTACCATTGCTTCTTCTCTTGATGCAAGGTTCCTAAGTGGTTTGAAAGAAGAGAGGGTAGAAGCAGCAAAAGTCTTTGGATCAGGTCTTAGTGACGTCTTGGTGCCTCAAGAGGTCGATAAAGCAAAGTTGATCGACGACGTGAGACAAGCTCTTTATGCGTCCAAAATATGCAGCTATGCACAGGGCATGAATCTGATCCGTGCCAAGAGTAACGAGAAGGGATGGGATTTGAAGTTGGGGGAACTTGCCCGAATTTGGAAGGGAGGTTGTATCATTCGAGCTGTGTTTCTTGATCGAATCAAGAGGGCCTACGACCGTAATCCTGATCTAGCTAACCTCCTTGTGGATCCAGAGTTCGCAAAGGAAATCGTCGAACGACAGTCAGCTTGGCGAAGAGTTGTATGTCTGGCTATCAACTCGGGTATCAGCACCCCAGGAATGTCTTCCAGTCTCGCCTACTTCGACAGCTACCGGAGGGAGAGACTGCCAGCAAACTTGGTCCAAGCTCAAAGAGACTATTTTGGTGCCCATACTTACGAAAGAACCGATGTCGAAGGATCTTTCCACACCGAATGGTTTAAGATCGCTAAACAACTTAAGAACTGAATGCATTCGTTGCCTAATCCCGAGAGTAAGAACACCTTTTATTTACAATAATCTTACCTCCGAACCATTTTAATCATAGCTCATTTCATATGCATTTTGGTGTGAACTTGGTTACATAAACTGTGTTGTTTGAGTTTCGAGTTTGAATGTGTTGTCTGATCAGGTTATGCTTTGAAAGATTTTCCATTTGATTTTGTTGGGAGAAATGTTAATTGGGGAGTTGAAATTCCAATGAAAGCTGAATGGAGGATAAGAAAGAGAAACCCATCATTTTCCTAACAAAAGGAAACACTTTCTTTTTCTTTGTTGAGATCAACAAACGTTCACATTTTTTTGCCTGTTCCCTTTTACCTTTTCAAAACTTTCGACGTGTTCGGGCCTAACTCGAACGACCATTAAATTTGCAAAAATAAATGTCTACTCATATTGAAAAAGACGTCTAGACCAATCAACGAAGCTGAAATCATTTAAAAGTTGAAGAACTACTAAAAAAGAAAGATCGAAACTATATAATTGGATGTACTCCGAGAAAAAAACGATACCCAAATCCCATAGCTTAATTATATTAATTATATAAGCTCATAAAGTAAGTCAACTTTTGATCCTCCCATTTACATATTTTAGGCCCCATAAATGGGTGTTTCCCTAATTTATTCAGGTGTTCATTGAGAATCAAAGGGAAGTGATGAGACAAGCAAAGCCCACATGTTGGTGTGGCAAATTTAAATGGCGGCTACTGTGTCGTCTGCCGCTGCAGACACTGCAGCCTCCATTGTGATTCTTACCTTTTTGTGTTCTTATTACGCTGAAAACAGAGCAAAAATGGAATTTTCTTCTGTCATTTTGGTCTTCAATTTAAATTTAAATTAATAAAAATCTCTCTAATTGATAATATTTTATTGATTTTTAAATTTTTATTAAGAATGTTTTTCAAATTAAGGATATTTTGAAGATTTTAAAAATGTTTAAAGATATTAACTAAATTTTTAAAATTTTGATATTTTAAATACCAGGCATTTTTGAAACACTTCTGAAAGATTTAATCTAAGGAATTTGTTAAAAGAAAAATAAAAAAGTTAAAATTTGAAAGAGAATATAAGATTTGATTCCTTTTCTAACTTGTTTCAATTTGTATGGAAAAATTCTGGCAATGCCACCTGGATTTTGCTAACCTGTGGTAATGATTATATAAATAATTTAATTTAATTTAATTTGTAAGTCCATAACTCGTTTTCATCGATTTACACTTTCCCGCTGCTAACAAAATTAGAAGAAGAAGAAGAAGAAGAAGATTGAAGCAAATCCAGAGATCGATTTCAGAACTGCTGGTTCGATCGAGAAAAAGTAGAAGAATCGGAAGGCGTAGCGGTAGCGAGGAACGACGGCGTGTTATTTCCGGCCATTATGACGACGATTTGTGGTTGCAGATCGGCGGCCGTTTTTGCAGGAGAATCGATCTTCGTCTTCTGGTCTTCTTCTTCGGAAGACGATGAAGAAGGTGAAGATGAAGAGCGTTTCCGGCAGGAACAAGTGAGTGAAATCAATGCGGTGAGGATGAGAAGTAGAGTTAGGCCTATTCCGCCGAAGAGATATGGTATCGGAGTGTTCCAGAGGTGGTGATGGCCGGTTTCCATGGCGGCGGGGGTGGCAGCGGCGACTAATGACCTCATTCCTCTCCCTTTCTCTCTGTTTGTTTTTTTTTTTTTCTTGGCAGTGGGGGAATGAGAATGGAGTTCCGATGATACATGTATTTATAGGGGAAATAAATTTCATTTAATTTTTATTAAAAGTAAAAATAACTCACTTTATTTGATATTTTAATTAATCTACTATAATTTTTAATTATTTAGAGGGTTTTCATTTTTTTCTAACAAAATATTTGAATTTTTTATTATTTTAAAATGTTTGAATTCAATATCACTTGTTACAATCGTACCTTTTGATAGCAGCGAAGCGAACTTGCAATTGTGTGGCACTCACTTTCCAGCAAGAAGTGAGTTAAGTCAATTCAGCGAGCGATTGTGCGACACTCACTTTCCTGCAAGAAGTGAGTTAAGTCAATTTATTCTTGCGTCGCTTACTCTGGCCCCGATTTCAAGAAGAAAGTTTTAGAAATAGATCAGACAGATTTTGAAAGAGAGTTGACAACTTATAGCATATAACTAATTCTCTCTTTGAAGTATGAATCACTGCATTGGTGTAGATGGTGACTTTCAATTCTTTCAAGTTTTTTCTTCACTCGCAATGTGGTTACAATCTTCGATAATAATTTAAATTCATGATTTATATAAATAATAAAATATATTATGATAATTATTGAAAACCGATAAAGATAAAATTGGTATAATTAAAAAAAATTAAATTTGAAAATTTATTAAAATTTAAAAGACCATAATTCAAACTTGGCTTCCACACCAACCCATTTCTCCCTACGTCTTTTAAAATATTATATACACATATATATAATAATGGCTGTTTGTTTTATCGACTATGGTGGCAACTTCCAATAAATGCAATAACTTTGGGGGCCAAAATTGCTTTGTGGTTCATGGGCTTTCGTGAGTAACAGACCAGCATTGGGCTTAAATGAATTTGGGCCAAAAGCCCAAAGCCCAGATCCTTCACCTGGAGGGATGAGCTGACCAAAATATATCAGCTTTTGCACATCAGTAGTATGAATTGTACCAACACTTGAATATTATCATAACTTAGAATTCTATCCAAAAACACCCATAAACCGACAATCCATTTGATAACGTTCTTGTTTTTTTGTTTTCTGTTTTTGAAAATTATGCTCGTTTAGTAGTCGTTTTTGAAATCGTAGCCAAATCTTTTTGAAAAGAGAGCTCGAAAAAACTGTCTTTGAAACTTGGCTAAGCTTTCAAAAACGCTCAGAAAGTGAGAAAAACTAAACAAAGAGAGCATAGCTTAATTTTCCTAAACAGAGAACTAAAACAAAATCGTTATCAAGCGGATCTATACAATTAGAGAACGAGAGAATAACAAAACCGTTGTGGAGCTTCAACGCTCTAATATGATACAACAAACTTTTTCAAAAGCTTAATCTGTGAAAATTTTCTCATAATACTAAACTCTTCAAGAACTGATAAAGAAAGAAGAAGGGATTTTCACCTTGGACCAGAGAGCTCCATGGCTTGGACCAACAAGGATGAGTCATCTGTGAGATCAGAGTATCTGTCAGATGAAGAGAAATCATGAGGTTTGCACTTTGTTGAGTCAACTCTCTGAGAAGCTTCCCATCTGACAGCAAGCCCTTCTCCTTCAAGCATTCTGACAACTTCTGACATCTTTGGTCTGTGTCCTGGTTGGTATTGTGTACACAACAGAGCCACTTGAACCATCTCCTCTAGCTCAACTCTGTCATAGTTGGCTTTCAGATCCTTGTCCACTAGCACTTCCAGCTTCTTCTCCTGGTGAATCTTCTTCACCTGTAATGATAAACTCAGCGTCATTCATTTTCATCTTCTAATGCTCAAACCATGCCTGCTCATTTCAATCGACACGTATTCGTAACTTCCTTTGGTTTATCGATGTCGAAAGCTCGAGAGGAACACAATAACAATGGCACATTTTGTTGTGTTCTCCTCCCTCTTGAATGAAAACTTTGAGAAGCAACTAAAGTTCATAAGAATAATTTAAAGATGAGACATTTGTATTGTTTTTATATGGTGATGCATACCCATTCAAGAATGCCTCCTTTCTGATTAGCTGCTTTGCCAAACTCAAGGGCTTTCTGCCCTGTGATCAGTTCAAGGAGTAGAATTCCAAATCCAAAAACGTCTGTTTTCTCGGATGACTGCCCAGTGGAGAGATACTCGGGAGCTATATGACCCACGGTGCCTCTCACAGCAGTTGTGACATGTGAATCTTGGTGGTCGAGAAGCTTTGCCAACCCGAAATCTCCAACGACAGCCTCGCAGTAGTCGTCGAGCAATATGTTTGCAGCCTTAACGTCTCTATGTATGATCTTTGGGTCACATTGTTCATGGAGGTATAACAATCCCCTTGAAGCTCCTATAGCAATTCTCTTCCTTGTTCCCCAGTCTAATACCGGTTTTCCTGCGAAAGAAACCGATAATTTTCTCGTGTTTCAGCGTCGGACATTGGATATTTATAGCCTGCATATGGTCAGTTATCAAATGTATAGATGGATATTCATTGATGCTCTTAAAATGGCCACCTTTGAGACGTGATGCAACGCTTCCATTAGACATATACGGGTAAACAAGAATCCTTTCGGTTGGTGTGTTGCAAAACCCGTACAGTCGGAGGAGATGACGGTGCACGGCTAGGCTGATCATCTCGACTTCAGTCTGAAATTGGATATCACCTCTACTTGCATTGCCATCTTTGAGCCTTTTAACAGCTACAACCGTTCCATCTGAAAGAAGTCCTTTGTAAACATTTCCAAAACCTCCCTTTCCTAGTATGTTCTTGCTGCTGAAGTTGTTTGTTGCTATCTGAAGTTGTCTAAATTGGAACCTTCTCAGATTTCCAAGCGAAATTTCCTCATGTTGTCCGTCTGCAATTGCAGTAAGATGCATAGGACATATATTAGAATGATAATACAATCAATACTGAAGTTTAACGTTTGGCCTTATCGTTCAGTTCAGATGTTGGAATTAGCGTGAATTTAACAGTAATCATGAGAAGAAAAACTGGTACAATGCTCCAAACAATTTACCTTTTACATCGAAAAACGTCGGGCGATTGCTTCGTCTTCGCCACCATATGAACAGTCCAAATACAAGAACAATCAGACATAGGCAAGCTAGGCTCAAGCCAAATGTAAGGGCCATTTTATGACTTTTCAATCTCACAGCAGGTAAACCAGCTAAAGAAGCAAAGAGAACAGAATTCTTACAAACAACAACTACTGAATTGGAAAGGCTCTGAAGGAATTCATCAATGGCAATGTATTTACATGAACCTTACTTTGTGTACTGTTCAAGTTCATGGACATGGGCATTAGAGTTGAACCGTGGCAACTGACCTCGGACCCAGTTGCACAGATCAGAGGATTTCCAACAATGCTGCAATATCAGAAATATTATGTGAGTGAGATTTCACACAGAAAACACACACATACAGAGGAAAGAGAGAGATATATACTTGAACGTTTTGCTGGGAAATCTGGGGAGAGGGCCACTGATATTATTATAAGACACATCGCTGCATTACAAACAAATTTAGAATAAGAAACTAAATTCAAGAGCAAGCTTTCGTCAAGATGGATGAATTTGAGAAGATATGAACTTACAGAAACACAAGCTGTGTCATGTTAGCTACAGACATTGGAATTACCCCAGAAAGACTGTTGTTGTTAAGCCTCCTAAAATCATTGAAGAACAGACCAAATTAAACTAAAACATTTGAGGGAAAGCAAGCAAAAGGCATAATAGGAAGATGCTTACAAGTACTGTAGGCTTCTCAAATGGCCTAGAGAAGAAGGAATTTTCCCTGTGAAGAAATTGCTTGATAGATCAAGTGTTTGGAGCTTTGAGAGCCTCTCAAGCTCTGGGGGGATTGGGCCTGTAATATTGTTGTTCTGCAACAGCCTATTGAGCAAATGCAAACCAATTCGGTTACTTATTTTTCTCCATTTTCAAGGGGGAGAAAGAGGAAAAGAGAGGCCTTGACATTTTAACTTACACAATTTGAAGGTTTGTCAAATTCCCAATGCTTGAAGAAAGAGTCCCAGACAGGTTCTGACTTGGAGTCCCTCTGCATTACGTACAAAAAAGAAAGAAAAAATGAATCAGAACTTCAATGGTGGATTGCCTCCATTTTCCCAACTCTTCATCTACAAATTTTGAGTTCAAATTCTTAAAGAAGAAGGTGGAGAAGAGGATTAACAGGCCAATGACAAGGCTGTCAGGGGAGCAAGTAACCATAGTCCAACTACATGGGTCAACAGAGTCTCCATCCCAATTCTCAAGCACGCCATGGGGATCTTGAAGTGAAGCTTTAATACCCATCAGAGCTTGAACTGAAATGAAACAGTGAAAAAATGAAACCATTTCCCCCATGAAAATTCTGCATTTCCCATGTTAAAATCGCCTAAACAGACACACCCACCTTGCAGAAAGAAAAAGAATTTTGTTCTCTTTTTCTCTTACTTACCTTCATAGTTAACACCTTTGGGAGATAGCAAGCCATTTATTGCAGAAGCCCAAAACAATAAAGAAGCCACAAGACAGGAAGCAGTAGCCTCAGTTCTCTTCATTCCCAGTAAATGCTCATGTACTAAAAACCAGACACAAGCCAAGCAGAAGGCTTGGAGCTATTGCAAATGGGGGCTGGGCTAAGCTGGTTGAAGAAGAACAAAACCAAGGAAAGAGGGGGTCTGGCTGTTTAATAAGGAAATCTTCAAATCACAACCAATTTTTGTGGTTTTTATGCCAGAAATCCCCCATTAACCAAAAATGGAGGTAAAGGGGCAGTTTGCTTTTGGTGGCAGTGAGCAGAGTCACTAACAAAGCATGCTTGTCGTTTGAGACAGTAAGTTTTGAAGAATATAATATGGAGAGCCTTAAAAAGCATCAAACAAAACAAACCAAATCCACGTAAGTTCAAGATTAAAATAAACAAAAAGAGAACAGAGATTGGGCATTATTTTACCTTTAATCTTGTCCTATGCTTTTAAAATGGTGCCATGTGAATCGAAAATTCCCTTAACATAATATTATTCATCTTGTAAAACAAGTACACAAACTAAAGGATATTGAAAGCGGTGAATCAAAACCATTCAAAAGCTCCTTTTTTTTTTTTTTTCAAAAACTGCAAGCTGGAAGAAGAAATCTAAGCTCTTGATAAATCCTCCAAAACCACATTCTTTTCCTTTCCTAAAGACGGCCCAGTTAAAATTACACGATTTTGATTCATGGGTCAGTGAAACCAAATGTAAATTCACCCATTATCATGTAAAAAGCTCATTTTTTTCCCAAGCTGATGAAGAATGAACCACTCTGAGAGATCAAAAAAGGGGATAACCCAGTAAAAATTAGTCAGTAAAACCCATATGAAAATTCATTCACCCAATTTCATATCATTCAAGAGTTCAGAATGAACAAATCAAGGCATTGAAAGTCAGAAAGTTAGAGAATGTGAGAATCTCAAGGAGGCTATGGAGCTCGAAGGTGATGATAATGGAGTTGGCTATTCCATTCATCTTTTCGTGAATCTGGTTTTGCTTTTTTTCTTCTGTCTTTAAAATTCTGGATTCGTTCATTTCAAAATTCTGTCTCAGTTTTGAAATGTTGGGAAGGAAAGTGGGGATTTACAGATGCTGGCTGGCTTTGTATCAGAAAAGAAGCATTGTCGGAGACAGTCATTCCACCAAAACCGTTCAAAAAGAAAAGTGCTTTTGGAAAAGCAAAAGCTGACATTTTTTTTTTCTCTCTCTTTCTATTTGAATTTGTTTTGTGTCTGTAAATAATGAGTTTATTTTGTTTGGTGATGAGATCCTCCGTCGCAGGGCCTGCGCGTGCAAAGAGAAGAAGCTCAAATTACAGGCTTCTTCCGACCTCCACCTCTCTTCATCGTCCTCATCATCATCGTCCTCATCATCATTGTCTTTTCACATCTTTCTGCCCCACTAATCTTTCCAAGTTTCTTTTTTCTTCTTTCTTTTACGGTTGAGTTAAAGGATAGACCAGATTTGACATTAGTTAATTTTGCACCAACATATCTCGAGAGAGCTACATTTTATGGATGATACTTTAAAGATCTAATATTTAAATTTTAAAAAATGATAATAAAAAACAAAGTTTATTTACTATATAAATTATATAGGAAATGTATATAAAAAATGATTAATTTGTTCAATCATATAATAGATTAAAATAACTGAAGATTTGATGAGAGAAGGTAACCACAGTGAAATGTAGTAAATTTTCTTAAACTCTGATGGTTCTAAAAAATTGTGAAAAATGAAAAATAAAATAAAATAAAATAAAAAGTAGAATGGACCAAGCATAACAAAAGAACACAAAACTTTAATAAAAGAATGACAAAAGTGAGCAAAGAGATTAAATTCCCAAAAATTGTGCAACGCCTATACCTTTATTGTCTTATTCTTCCACCAAAGCTATATATATATATATATATATATATAATATCATAAATTTTTTATAATTCCAATAATACCCATATATTTTTTATTAAAAATTCAAGTAATTTGTTTCAAAAATATTCGACCTAATATGAAAAAAAGTGAAAGAATTAAAATAATAATAAATAATAAGGAACAAAACATTATTTGCTTAGAAAAAAGGGATATTATAAGGGAACAAGGTCCCATATTCACAATTCTCTAAAGGAGACACCAAATTTTAATTGCATTTTTCACAGGTTAATTTGGTCAATTCACTTTTCTATTTAAAAATAAAATAAAAATAAAAAAGTTTAATCAATCAAGACACCCTTTGTTGGGATAATTTGCCTCCCAAAAACATTACAATTTTCAAACCAAATTTTGGATATGGTTTTGGGATGCTCTTTTATCTTAATATCATTGTTTAGAAATTATTTGAAATTATTTGAAATTATTTTGGATTTGATACATTAGGATTTCCTACAATTTTGAAATATTCATGCATGAATTTGAATTTCAAATGGTAGTAATATTTGATATTAGTAAGTGTTTTTAAAATAATAAAAAAAAAATGAACAACTAAACTACTCAATCGGGTAGCCAATCCGACCAATCTTAAATTTCAGGTTAGTCCAAAAAAATTAAATAGCTATTTAATTTTTATAAGTGTGTGGGCGTGTGCACGTGAGACAAATTGTAGGACTTTTTATTTTATTATTTAAAAAAAAATTTAAAAAAAAACCTCCTAATCTGTCCTAAAATTTAAAGATTTTGGCTGGGACAATATCAAATCATACACCATCTTAATTTCTTCATTAATCAAATTTCTAATCCAATATTAAGCAAAAAGAAGTAATCAGCAGAGAACAAAACTAAGATAATGGTAGGGAAACCCAACCTTTTTTCTTTTTGTCGAGACAGCATAATAATCCTCCCATTGAAAACTTGAAGGCCTGATGAAATGGCTAAAGATATTGCAAAATTGGTCCCCCAACAGCACCACCTCCATTGCTGGTCTCTGCAATAAATGTAGCGAGAAATGGATAAGCAGCAAGTGGGGGAAGCAATGGCTACTAATCATACAAAAATGATGACAAGTTTGTCACACTGTCTGTAAGAACCTAAGTTGTCTTTTGTTTGCTGCCTACCTTCTGATCAGCATCACAGCCATTGAAGATGACAATCCAAAGGCTCCAACACAAATGAAGACACTTTCTTTCTTCTTTTCTTTTCTTTTTTCTCTCCTCTTCTATTTTCCAACCTGGTAATGAACGCACAGCAAAGTGATACAAACCCTCTTGGCTCGTTTAGTCTCACTCATATCGTTTTGCTCATGGACATGTCCTAATCAACCTGTTTGGCAAAGTTTGTCTTCGCTTGCCAAAAGAATTATTATTCAATTCAACATGGGGAGAAAAAACCAAGTATCAGCAATCAGAACTATGATATCAAACAAAAAGAATGATCCACGACTAATCTTGCACTGTCTTTCTACTTTTATTTTGAAAAACCAACAACGAACCCATAACGCATCAATATATAAGTACAAAATGACCGCATTAGTGAAATAAAATATCTATTACAGTCAATCCAAACATAACTTAGTACATAAGGTACCCATTACCATTTCAAATATCGATGGCTAAATCTCCCACCTACCATTTATATTTAATCCCATGGTACAAGAAAACCTGCATGAAAGTATATAACTAAGACAAATATTTGAGCAATTATCAAATTTGCAAGAGTTTTGAACTTTTAAGACTTTGAACCCATTCTGGAGACTAACAACATGTATGGCTTTAAGAAAGCTAGATTGTTTGTCAAAAGTGACTGCTAATAAGACTCGCTAGTTTTATGTTTGCTAAACAAATTGATGGAACATTTGATGTTTCATGCTATGCGTTATAATGCGTATAATCAACATCTTCTTTTACCACCTTTGCTGCTATGGCAAGCTAGAATCTATTGCTTTGCTTTAGACCAAAGATAGACATTTGTATCACTTTTCAAATATATTAAAGAAAGAAAACTCAAGGCAACAATAACATGATTGGCATTGGTTACATTAATACACAGATCCACCAAATTTTCTTAACTAATAGAAGGAAAGAACATCATTATGAAAAATTGATAAGCTCAACACGATTAAGCACATTATGAGTCAGGTAGGCGAGGTGGGGGTATTAAGAAAGACAAGATGTAGTGCTAACAAATGTTTTGAATGTAACCAAATCAGTTGTCTTCCATAAAACACTACGAATGAACAACTCAAACCAAGTTCATTATGGGTGAGAACACACGCTACCTTTTCACTCGTTTAGCAATGAGAACCTTTAACACATGGAGTGAGAAAGTTTCTGCATGAACAAAAATGGTTACAATAAAGTAAACAAGACAAAATGTTTGCAGAAATGTGCAGCTTACTCTAGAGTCCAAGATTAGCAGAGTTCAGGGCTTTACCATACAATAAGCCTCTTATACAGCACCACCTACAGAATCTTATCTGATGTTCTTGGCCCCCAATAAGCTTTAAGAGCATCATCTTGGAGATGACGGCCTGAACTTTCAGCTTTTCTGGAAGTTTCCTATTTTCTACATAAAACTCAAATAGGAAGATGTACTAGGGGTCAAGAATCAATCATCGCATCGATGTTTTCCCCACTATAATTTTGAAACAAATCCTCTCTACATCTTATGAAGAGATGTTGAAAAAAAAACTACTAAAATAAGTTCTGAAAAGTTAATTGGTTTAAAAGAATAATAAAAAGCTGGTTTTGCCAACAAAGTAATTCATACTCAATTTCGAACATTTAGTAATTTGATAACGATTTATTAACTACATAAAAACACAACTTTAAAGGAGGCTACAAATGAGAGACCCTACATTACACAAATAAGACAGGAAGTTGTATAAAACTGGAGCTTCCTTGATTTGATCAGTACAAAAAAAGGGAGTTTAGTTCGAGCGACTATGTATCACAGGAAACTTGTTTCCTTGACTTTTATTCACCACAAAGAAGTTAATCGAATCAAACTCAATTGGGTCAATAAATTTTGAGAAACAGAAGAAATATTTGTAACAAAACCTTTGAATTGATCAAACAACACATGAAACCTCATAAACTACATCGTAGGGAGACATTAAGCGATTCTAAGAAGCCAGATTTGGGGAAGCAGCAGCTTCTACAGGCTTCATGGAATAAAAAAGATTCAAAACGTCAGCATGGTTACGAATGTCACTGGGGCATTTTGAAAGAAAGTCTTGAGCATCTCCGTGCCTTCCAGCTTGGAAAAACGCTTCAAACAAATGGAGAAACACTGACGTAGAAGGAAATCTCTTTGATGTCATTGCCTTTAGGAAACCAATGGCATCATCAGCTGTTCCAGACTTCGATACGTAAGAGATAAATGGTTCAATAAATGGTGGGAATTCATGATTTCTCATCATCCCCAACAATTTCAAAGCTTCTTTGAATTCCCCTCGTTGCAGTAGCTTGTTTATCAATGCTTTGTATGTAGAATGCCGTGGCTTTAGCTGCTTTCCATCAACAAGTTCGGACAGAAGGTGGCTAGCATCAGTTTCACGTTTCTTTTGACAGTAAGCATTTACTATTAAATCCAAAGCATATCCTGCAGAAGAGACGTCTCCTTTGTCAACCATTTTGTGGATGCAATCAGAGGCCATAGCAAGATCTCCAGCAGCACAAAGCCCTTCAATCAGAGATGCCCAGGTCTTGTTGTCTGGATTACATCCAGAAGCTTCTAAGCCGTTCATGAAATCATTAGCTTCATCACTTTTTCCAGTCCTACTGAGTCGATATGCTACCTTTCTCTTCAAACTACCACTAAATTCATATCCATACTCTTTCATTACATTTAAAACCTCAGTGTACTCTCCAATCCTACCAACAGCAGACAGAGACTTGAGAACTGCAAAAACCATTGAATCTGTCAACACATTACCTGTCTCTGTAAATACCTTCAATGTCCTTGAGAATAGATCTAGATCTAAGTGCTTACTAACTGCTATTTTCTTTAACAGAAAAGTAAGACAATCCACCGAAGGCTTATTACCTCCTGCCATTGCAAACACATACAAATTTACAGCTTCCTCAATCATTCTTCTTTTACAAAATCGTCCCAACACCTTGGCAAACGTCTCTACCTCCATTTCGTAACCGTGGCTCCTCATTTCATCTACTACTTTCCAAAATCTATCTATACAATCTTCCCTTCCTAACACCCTGGCCATGGCATTATAAGTTTGCTCATCGTGCTTAAACATCCCACTCTCCTCAATCCATCGGAAAAATATAAATGCTTTTGCCGGATCTGTGCAAAGATTCTCCAATATCATCTTAACCATATCACTTGAAAACGAAACATTCATATCACGCAGTTGCTGCTCAACATCATCTCCCCACACATTGTTCCTGACAAGTTTGCAGACAATTGAACCAATCTTCTCCGGAGACTTGTCAGTGGATCCCGATGCAAACACATCTCTCAACTTCTCAGCTTCACTCTCCAATCCATCCTTCTCAAACTTCTCCAATACCTTATCCCGTACAGTTTTAGATATCCCATAACCCTTTTTCTTCATATCGCAGTTTAAATCCCAAAACTCCTTAACATGGTCATTAACACCTAGGATTCCCAGCATCAAGTTATACGACTTGGAGCTAAGTTTTTCGCCATACTCCCCCGAAACCCAATTGAAAAACCTGATAGCACTATCAGGATTCGATTCGAGCTTCCCCAATACCTCCAACACCAAATCATGACTAATAACAATACCATTCAACTCTAAATCTTTCCTAATTTCATCCACATCCCGAGATTTAGAGAAAATATCAAACACAACAGCGTGATTAGACTCCTTCTGTTCAATCACCGATTCGGAGGAGAACGTTCGAGGAGTGCCGTACCTATATTTCACGATACTCGTGAATTGAGAATCGGAGATGGGCGGCGACGCCGTGCCGTGAACGGGATGCTTAGGAAGTAGTGAAGATAGAAAGCGAATTGTTTGCAGATTGGGATCGGAATGTACCTGAAAATGTGAGGCGTTTGATGAAACCCGGAGCTGAGAGCGAAAATGAGCTCGCAAACGTAGCAGTCGCCATGAATATCTCATATTGCGGCTTTAGGTCACAGAATTGGAAGCAAGGGCGAAGCTAAGTGAGACACTGGTAGAAGTAGGGTTTTAGAGAAGATACGTTTTAAGTCTTTAAAAAAATAATAATAAATAAATAATGGTTGACACGAAAATCGAATTTATTGGAATAAAAAATCAAAACTTTTTTTTTTCTCCCTTTTCCTTATTTTTCTTGTACAATTTTAAAAAAAATTATAAAGAAATCTGCAATGAAATTAATAATTTTTAATTTGATCTTTAATTTTTTGATTAGTTATGTTTCATTAATGAAAAGATAATTTCTCAGCCCTTGAATTTTAAAAATTACATTTACATTTTTATTTTAGATATATATTTTTCATTTTGTTAAATTTTAAATATTAATATACATTATTACTCATTCAATTAGTCAATTAAATTTTAATTTTTTTAAATACATTTTAAATACTTTTACCTTATAAAGTTATTGATATTATAAAATATCATTTGATATTTTTTTAATTAATTTTTTATATTAACTAAAAATCAAAATATTGAAATTACATTTTTACATTTTTATTTTAGATATTTTTTTATTATTTAGTTAAATTTTAAATATTAATATACCTTTACTGATTCAATTAGTCAATTAAATTTTAATTTTTTTAAAATACTTTTACCTTTAAAATATAATTAGGTACTTTTTTAATTAATTTTTTATATTAACTAAAAATCATAATATTGAAATTATATAAAAAAAATTATTTAAAAATCAAAATATAGTTTAGCACCCGTTTACTATTTTTATAGACTCCAAATTGAATGCTTAAATTAATTCTTTTATATTAATTTTTTCTCTGCGTATATTCTATTAATATTCTTTAAAATTATTTTAATTTTGGTAAATGATACGAAATATTAATCAATTTATAGCATTATATGAATTCGTAGAAATTAAAAGGCACGTAATATTACTTTCAACTATAACCATTGTGACTATTAATTTAATTTATCTCAATATATTGTTAAAATGATTTATATAATTAATTTTATTGTTTCAAATGTATATAGTTATAAAATATGAGATTTATTTTGTTGTAATTTTCTCTATTTCTAATCACTTTTTAAAACAATTATTTTCATTATTACACGAAACCTTTAAATTAACCAAATAATCGTTTATTATCGGAAAAGCTCTAGAAAAGAGCATCAAACAAAATTAATGGAGAAATATGAATGATAGGTGATATCATTTCACGGCATCCTTAACAGCATCTGCAGCTCCTTCTACCTTAGCCTTCATTTGTTGGCCCGTCTCCTGTATCGACTCTTTAGCGGTTTGGGCTGCATCGCTTGCCTTGTCGATCATATTGCTCACCTTCTCCTATGTTAAGAATACAAATTAACATATTACCAAACACTCCATAATTTTAAATACCACGCAACAAAGTATATGCATTGTCAAACGAAGAATAGAAAACCTGGGTTTGACCCTTCGCCTCTCCGGCACGGTAGCTCATCTGGCTCGAGTTGTCTGCCATTTCAATTCTTTATTGATAGAGATTCAAAAACACCAAAGAAAAAAAAAATGAGAATTTGAAAAACACTTGGGTGAATATGGCTCTAGTTGGTTGATTTATATAGTGGGTTAGGTTAAATTACTGTGTGACACGTGTAACACGATAATTGAATCATAGCTCCACGTGTCTAATTTTGATTGGAGTTGTTCATATATGTGCCCCATTTGACCAGGAGAAGGCAAGAAGTGTTCAGATGATGCAATGATAAATTAGTTTTTTTTTTACCGCTGTTTTTTTGGGAATGAGTCAGAATGGCATTATGGTAATAGTTTATGTTATTGGGGAATATTTATGTCATTATGTTTATTAAAATATCGTGTTTTTGTTCGAGAGAGAATATTTTAACTCAAATAAAATAAAGGGACTTTATTTATTATCCATTTTTATTTATTTTTGGTTAATTTTAAAGTTTAGTCCATTTATTTTTTTTTAAATTAAGTTTTGTAGACACTCCTTCAAACGTAAATTTTAAAAACCAATTTTGAAAACAAGTTTTTAAATTTTATTTTTATTTATAAAATTTGTTCTTTGAAAAAAAAAAAAACCCGATTATAAATAAATTATGAGAAAACTAATATAAATAATTAAATAGTACATTTAGTACTTAATAGGTTTTCAAGCTTTAAAAAAAATATTTTTTAAATTTTAATTAAATATAAAATCAAATCGTATCTAATTTGTTAGACTTTGAAAAAAAATATTGAATACGTATTAAACATTAAATTAAATTAAAATTTTATAAATTTATAAAACAATACTTAAAAGTTCAACATAAATTGATAATATATAAATCTACTAAATTTGTAATAACAATCTTTAATAATAAAAATAAAGTTTAAATTACAGTTTTAACCTTCTGAGAATAGTGAATAAAAAAATTATTTAATAGAAAAATAATTTTTTTAAAATAATTACAAACTATACTTGTTTATTTTGTAATAACATTTATTGTTTATTTTAGTCGAGTAATTTATAACAAATTAAAGAATATTTCTTCACTAAAATTTAAATGTCTTCCCTAGTTATTTTCTCTTTTAATTTTTTAAAAATTTTTATTTTGGATTAATATATAAAGTAGAAAATAAATTAAAAAAAATAAAATCTCATGATATAATTAAATATTAATGAGGGAGAAGTATACCATATATTGCTGTAAGCCTCACAGCTTTAAAACATAGGAGAGGTTTTCACACACTTACAAAGAATATTTGGTTTTTCTCTCCAACCGATGTTCCGATGTTGGATCTCATAAATGTTATAGCTCGTGCTCTTCTTTGATTTATTTTCTTTGCTTCAATTGTAAATTTTTATTTATTATTATTATTATTATTTCTGGAATACTCTATCTAAAATTTATTTTCTCTGATTATATTTGAATTTAAAAAAAAAAAAAAAAAAAAAAAAAAAAAACTGAACATTTTTCCCCTTGTGAAATTGAAAACGTTGATTTTCCCCTTCATTCATTTTACAATTTTTGCCGCAACGTTGCAAAATCGCTGCCCCAATTCTCCATTTGCCCATAATTTACGTCGCTGGATATCATTTTGCGCCTTCTGAGCCACATACGCCAAACCCATGTTCATCTTCTTAATCTAAAACCTAAAATCTTGCAACTTCCTCCATGCCATGACAATCTTAATCATCCAAACCCTTCAAATTCCAGTCCCTTTCAACATTTCTCAGATACCCTTTTCATCTTGCTTCCCTCTTGTTTAATTCGCCTCCCATTTTAGTTAGCTCAATAACCCAGGTCGGATTTCCATGGCGGGTCTCTCGATTGTTTGCAATAATGGCTACTCTCTGCCTACAGGAAGCTTCGGAGCTCATATCAACAGCAACAAGCATCTATGGAGGTATAGAAACTTCTCTTGTAGCTCTGTTACTCTTCCTCCCATGGCTTTGCCTTCTACATACTTAAATCTTCGATGCCAGTTGCTCTGTAATTGTAAATTTAGGGTAATAAGCAACGGGCAATGGCGATTTTCTTGTAACAGTAAACTTGAGCATATGATGAATGATAAAATGCCTCCTCTGGGTGGTAGTAGAAGGAACAACAATTTGAGAAGAAAAATTGGTTTAAGATTACGCCCGAGGTTGAGATTGTTATCCAAAAGATTAAGAACAGTTTCTGTTCGATCAGCTATGAACAATGTAAGAACATTTATTAGGAAGAATGTTAGGAAGGTGAGCCTTTCTGCTTCAGTTTGTATTGTTTTGGGGCTGTGCTATTTGTTTCTGAAAGTAACTGCAGTCCCACCTTCTAAGAATGTTCCATATTCAGATTTCATTACCAGCCTTCAGAATGGAACTGTCACCAAAGTTTTACTCGAGGAGGGGTCTCGTCGTATCTATTTCAATCGAAGTTTTACGGAGTCGATCGAAGGTTTAGATAGTAAACCATTAGTAGTAGATAGTTCTAATGGAAGTGATGAGGGAGTGAATGGTGACTCCAGAGCTGTGCAAGCCCCAAAGATGAATTTATTGACAAAATTCTCTAGGAGAAGCAAAGTTGCGATTCCGGAGTGGAAATTTTCGACGAGGAAAGTAGACCATGATGAGAAGTTTTTGCTTGGTTTGATGAGAGAAAAGGGAACTACTTATAGTTCAGCACCTCAATCGGTTCTGATGTCGATGAGAACTACGTTGATAACGATCATATCTCTATGGATTCCTTTAATTCCTCTCATGTGGCTTCTTTATCGTCAACTCTCTGCATCGAATACAACTGCGAGAAAGCGCCAACCTAACAGTCCCATGGTTGGATTCGAAGACGTGGAAGGCGTTGATGGTGCTAAAGTCGAGCTCATGGAGGTAAGCTATTTAAAAATTTGATGGTACTAGATGTTATATGATCTTGTTCTAGTTCTTGAATTTTGACTTGTTTTCCATCGAAGTTCGTAATAAATCCTACTGACTGCAAGATGATTTCGACATTAATCAATGATGAGAGGTTGTTTCGTTATAATAGAAAGTTTAGGAACTAAAATAGAAATCGAGGTAAATGTTTAGGAACAATTTAAGGAGCTATTGACAAACAGACGGTTTCTTTGTCTCTGTTGACAAAATTAATGATTATAGGTAGTATCATGTCTTCAAGGAGCTATTAGCTACCAAAAACTAGGAGCAAAGCTTCCAAAAGGTGTCTTGTTAGTAGGTCCTCCTGGAACGGGGAAAACGCTCCTTGCACGAGCGGTGGCTGGAGAAGCAGGGGTTCCGTTTTTCAGTGTATCAGCCAGTGAATTTGTTGAAATGTTTGTGGGAAGAGGGGCAGCACGTATCAGAGACCTTTTTAGTGTAGCAAGAAAATGTGCACCATCAATCGTGTTCATCGATGAACTCGATGCGGTTGGAGGGAAACGGGGTAGAAGTTTCAACGACGAACGTGACCAAACATTAAACCAGGTAATCTCGATTAGAACGTAGTCACCTCTATTTCTCTACTCTTATCAGTATAGTGTCTGTAAAATTTCATGATCCAACTGTCCTTTCTAATTACCGTAGTTGTTGACCGAAATGGATGGATTTGAGTCGGACACGAAAGTGATCGTTATAGCGGCGACTAACAGACCCGAAGCACTGGATCCTGCCCTTTGTAGGCCAGGTAGATTCTCAAGAAAAGTTCTCGTAGGACAGCCTGATGAAGAAGGAAGGAGAAAAATCTTGGCAGTACACTTACGAGACGTCCCGCTCGAGGAAAACCCGAACTTAATCTGCAGTCTAGTTGCATCACTCACACCTGGTTACGTGGGTGCTGATCTTGCAAACATCGTGAACGAAGCAGCACTTCTCGCTGCTCGTAGAGGTCAGTTGTTTTACTAACTTAATTCCATTTTTCGACTCGCACCATCACCCTCGTAAGGAATTATCAGTTCTTTCTTTTCTTTTTCGCAGGTGGCGAAATGATATCGAGGGAAGATTTTATGGAAGCAATTGAAAGATCGAAATTTGGGATCAACAACAAGAAACTGAGATCTAATACAATAAACACTGAGCTTGAAAGATTGTTTCCATGGATGACAGCTCTAATGGGAAGAAATGACACAAAAATGGATGGATCCCAAGGGCCATTGGGCTATCAAACTTTGAGTTGATTGACAATATTGATATCATTTGCCTTGTACATAACTTTCTTCATTCATAGCCTTTGGAATCAAAATGAGACACTTCTACTTCGAGGGTTTAGGCTGAATCGATCCGGATCGTCCCTCGCAGACGTGCTACGTCTCGAATAGAAATTTCAATACTTGATAATTTTTTTATTTTTTCACTATGTTTAGAATTCTAAGTTTCAACCATATGGCTAGTTTTCATGGGCTCATAAAACCCTAGTAGCTTTATTCATGGGTTCGGTTCCAATGAATGTATTTGAGTAAGCCAAGATGGCCGATGTGTCCTAAGACATGAGACGATATCAAGATACACGAGTCATGTTGTTGGGAACGAAGATGACAATGAAATGCAACATTGTTGTGTTGCAACGATTGAACATCCATGCACAAAACAACGCGTGTGGTCGAACAAGCTTGAATTCCGCACAAGCGATGTTCGGTTGGTAAAGTCAAATCTCGCCGATAGTCCAACGAACCCAAAAAGTCGAACAAAAGAATTTAAATCTACATTCCATATTATTGAACAAAAACATATATATTTTTTTTATTGAATTTGGATTTAGAATTCAGATGTTAAAAAATAAAATAATATAATAAAAAAGAAAAAAGAGAGAAGAAGTAGAAACAATTTGACTTGTTTAAGCCGTTGACAAATTCATTAACAGGTCTACCGTTTGAATCTGAACTAATTAACTAAAAAGAACATGAAGAAAAAAAAACACGATTTAAACAATTAAAACGATTAAGGGAGTTAGTTAATTAATTTTAACCCGACAGTTGGAAACTAATCACCCACAAAACACGGTTAATGACATGACGACGGAATCCAAAAGGATTCCTAAACCAATTTCGTGGGAAAAACAGAAGTCCAAGAGAATTGTTTTGATTCGTTTCTATCCAAGTTTTAATTTAATTTCGGTAAATATGACGTCAGCAACCCCTCTAATCCACAACTGTATCTAATTATTTTATCCACGTCAGATAATTGATTAGAGCGTGTGTACTTACGTGTAGTGCTGATCCTAACCATCTGTCCACCTGTCAAATTGTTCTTTTATTTAACGCACAGGTCAGCAGCAAAATTCATAGAATCAGAAACGAAGAGAAAAAAAAAAAAAAAATTGAAAATTTTGATGGCCAGAAGTATCCTTTCAACCCAATCAAAGATCCCCAAGAACGTATTTTTTTACGCTTCCAATCGGTTGTTAAACACCGCCGCTGCCTTCACTTCCGCCGCTTCTACCCCGCCGCCGCTCAATCTCGCTGTCTCTCCGGCGGCACCCACCGTCGATTTTTCTGACACGAAGGCCTTGTTTGGGTCATTATCAACGTTGGAGGTCCTACACGCCGCCGCCAGCCTCCATGTCGCCGCTGTCGGCCCTGTCGTAGACGTCGGAATGTGGGTTATGAACTCTAAATTGATGGATGTTGAGTTGGCTCGTGATATAATTTTTGGTACCGTTAGGCATAGTTTCTACCGACATTTTTGCGCCGGTGAGGACGACACGGCTGTCGGGAAAACCGTTCGCCGGTTGCACAATGTCGGGCTGAGAAGCATGCTCGATTACGCTATTGAATACGCCAACGATGAGGAGTCCTGTGATCGGAATCTTCGTGGGTTTCTCCGAACCATTGAGGCCACTAGAGCGCTCCCACCTGGCTCTGTAAGTTCATAAGAATCTTTTTTTCATATGGTCCACTTTGTTTTAGCTTTCTTTTTGGGCCTCAAAATGTCTCAGAGTCCCTCCCAACCATCCTCCTAGCCTCTCTTGAACCCTGAACCCGAGAACCCCTTTGTGTCACTTTTGACCCTACAAGCTAGCAATTTCTTTATTTAACACCGAGAATATTATGACTCTATTGTCTACTTTGAGTACCTTGTTTTGAGATTTTCGAAAATGTCCCATACCAATAATGATGTATTCGTTTCGTGTGATTGATAGGCAAGCTTTGTGGTGGCTAAAGTGAGCGCAATTTGCCCATTGAGGTTGCTTGAGAGAGTGAGTGACTTGTTAAGATGGCAACAAAAGGACCCATGTTTGAATCTTCCATGGAAGCTCAAAACATTCCCAATTTTCTCTGAATCAAGCCCTCTTTACCACACTCTTCAACAGCCCAATCCCTTAACAAACGAAGAACAAAAAAGCCTCCAAATAAGCCATCAAAGGCTAATGAAAATCTGCCAAAGTTGCGTGGATGCCAACGTTCCTTTAGCCATTGATGCCGAGCACACCAAAATTCAACCCGCCATTGATTACTTCACATACTCCGCCGCCATCATCCACAACAAAGACCATAACCCAATAGTGTATGGAACCCTCCAAGCCTATCTTAAAGATGCAAAGGATCGGCTTTTGTTAGTCACCAAAGAGGCCAACAAAATGAGAGTTCCTCTTGGGATTAAGCTCGTGAGAGGTGCTTATATGTCAAGCGAATCCAAGCTCGCTTCTTCTCTTGGATTTGAATCTCCCATTCACAATAGCATTCATGACACACATGCATGCTATAATAGTTGCGCATCGTTCTTGCTCGACAACATCGCCGCAGGCTCGAGCGGAGCCATTCTCGCTACCCACAATGTCGAATCAGGTACCCAAAATCATATCTCATTTAATAACATAAGGTACCAGAATCATGTCTCATTTCATAACATGGGTATCCAGAATCGTATCTCGTTTAATAACATGGGAACCCAAAATCGTGTCTCATCGAGAGTACCCAGAATCATGTCTCGTTTAATAACATGGGTACCCAGAATCGTGTCTCATGTAGTAAGTACCCAGAAACATGTCTCGTTGAATAACATGGGTACCCAAAATCGTGTCTCATGTAGTAAGTACCCAGAAACATGTCTCGTTGAATAACATGGGTACCCAAAATCGTGTCTTGTTTAATAACATGGGTATCAAGAATCGTGTCTCGTCTAATAACATGGGTACCTAGAATCGAGCTCTGGGTATCCAGAATCGTGTCTCGTTTAATAACATGAGTACCCAGAATCGTTTCTTGTGTAACAACCATGTTAGAACGTTGTTTATAATCTAGATTTCGTTTGATAACCATTTTGCAGGAAAATTAGTGGCGAAGAAAGCGTACGAGATAGGGATTGAGAAGTTGAAGGAGAAGCTCGAGTTTGCTCAATTGTATGGAATGTCGGAAGCGTTGTCTTATGGGTTAAGAAACGCAGGGTTTCAAGTGAGCAAATACATGCCATTTGGAGGCGTGGATATGGTAATGCCATACCTTTTAAGAAGGGCGGAGGAGAATAGAGGCCTGTTATCGGCCTCAAATTTGGACAGACAGCTTATGAGGTATAGAAATGTAAATATTTTGTAGGGAGGGACTTGATAGCAAATTTGACATCTTTTTAATTTCTTGATATTTGCAGAAAGGAGCTGGGGAGGAGGATGAAAGAGTACTTGAGGGGTGAAAGAAGGGCCTTTTAGCAAATTTGCAATTTAGTCATTTCAGCAATTTTTACCATTTAGCTTACTGCTCGTTATCGTCTCCATCATTTATAAAATATTTTTATAACGGGACGAAGACGTCCTCGTGTAAACAGATAATAAAAGAAATTAATTTCTTCGATCGACCTTATTTATTTTTTTATTTATGCACATGTAAGTATTTACTTAATAAATAAACAAATAAATATTTACTTAAAATATAAAATAACAATATGTATTTTATTAATATTTTATTTTTTTAATAGAAAAATAGAATTTATCTATTAATTTTTTTAAAATAAATATATTTAAATATATATGTATTTATATATATATATATCATATTTAATAAGTTAATCTAGCGGGATAATGATTAAAAAATAAAAAACAATTATCAAATCATAATTTAATTTATTTTTTCAGAGAAAGTAATATAAAACCCTAGTTATTAAATATATTAAGTTTTTTTTTTTTTTTTTTTAAGAAAAAAAATAATAAAAAATAGTAGTTATCGTGATCAACTCGGCAACATGGGGGTCTCTGTTTGACTTGGAGTCGTCGAGTAGCAGATCGTGCTTCCCTTTTCTTTGTTTTTCGCTGAAAAGGGTTGAAGATCTGTCTTGAAAATGGTCGCTTCATCAATTTCTTCAGGCATCAATGGCGGAGGTACTTCATTTCTCCTCTATTTCTTTCCTGTATTTGTGTTTGAAACTTCGGCTCTTTTGAAATTAATCTAGTATCCTTTTCATTTTACTTCTTGTGGATATTGATCATGCTTTGTTTGGAGATTTTGTGTTTATGTTTGTGCTGTTGAGCTTTTATCAAGGTTGTTGTATGAGTTTTTGCCTTCGAATTCGTCTGTTTTTGTTACCATTTTAAGAGATGAAATTGCTGGAACTTTGCTAGATCTTTTATTTGGAAGATCCCAGGATTTTTCACTGTTGAATTGGAGTTTGTCTGATTTGTTGCTTGAGATACTGGCACTTTTTGGAAGAAAGTGAGTGAGAAGCTGTATCTGTCTGGTTTTTTTTGCTTGAAATGCTGATGTTTTTTGGAAGCTTTTTGTTGGTTTTGTGTGATTATTGCTGGATTTCACTTTTCCTTTTATTTTCCTGTTGGAATCACTGCATTTTCCTGTTTTTGGTCTCGAGATCCCACGTCGGTAAAATCTTGAGTGGTAGTCCTCAAAAGGAAAGCTCAAAGAGTATAATATCTGCTAGCGGTGAGTTTAGGGTGTTACAAATGGTATCAGACCCAATCACCGGACGGAGAGGTGAACGAAACATTCCTTATAAGGGTGTCGAAACCTCTCCAATGAAACACATTTTAAAACCTTGAGGGAAAGCTCTTGAAGGAAAAACCTAAAGAATACAATATCGGCTAGCTGTGGGCTTGGGCGCTTACCTCAAGCTTCTCAGCCCTCCCTCTTTCCTCTCATCTTTGATAATTTAAACCTTTTCAGGATGTCTTTCAATTGAGAGAATTCCAAGACATTTGAGGTTTTCAAATGGTTATAGAACAAAAGCAGCATCAAATCCTAATTTGAAGGCAGTCGAGGTCCCGCGTCAATGGTACAATCTCGTTGCAGACCTTCCTGTAAAACCTCCTCCTCCATTGCATCCCAAGACTTTTGAACCAATCAAACCTGAAGATTTGTCGCCTCTCTTTCCTGATGAATTGATTAAGCAAGAAGCCAGTGCTGAGCGGTACATAGACATCCCCGATGAAGTTGTCGATATCTACGGGCTTTGGCGTCCAACTCCTCTAATTCGAGCTAAGAGGTTAGAGAAGCTTCTGGACACACCAGCTAGAATTTACTACAAGTATGAAGGAGTTAGTCCTGCTGGATCACATAAACCCAACTCTGCTGTTCCACAAGTTTGGTATAATGTACAGGAAGGCGTCAAGAATGTTGTTACAGAAACCGGAGCTGGGCAATGGGGATGTAGTTTGGCCTTTGCTTGTAGCTTGTTCGGTATCGGCTGCGAGGTAAGAAGCAACTGTTGTGATCAATATGTAGTATAAACTCGAAGTTATTTATGAAACAGTTGAATTAAGATGCTGGAAAAATGGTTCAAAACAAAACTTCTTGGTTGCTTCTGTAACATATCACATGAAGTTTATCTTGTTTCCTTAACTAGGTGTGGCAAGTGCGTGCATCGTATGATCAAAAACCGTATCGTCGAATGATGATGGAAACTTGGGGAGCAAAAGTACACCCATCTCCATCCAACGTCACGGATTCAGGTAGAAAATTTCTTCAAGTCGACCCATCAAGCCCAGGAAGTTTGGGAATTGCCATTTCAGAAGCTGTGGAGGTTGCAGCTCTCAATGCTGATACCAAGTACTGTTTGGGAAGCGTCCTCAACCATGTCTTGCTTCACCAAACTGTCATTGGTGAAGAGTGTTTAAAACAAATGGAAGCCTTAGGTGAGACCCCAGATGTCATCATAGGATGCACTGGCGGAGGATCGAATTTTGCAGGTCTTAGCTTCCCGTTCCTCCGTGAGAAACTTGCTGGAAAAATAAGCCCCGTTATTCGAGCAGTTGAACCTGCAGCTTGTCCTTCATTAACGAAAGGCGTTTACGCTTATGATTATGGCGATACAGCCGGGATGACGCCATTGATGAAGATGCACACACTTGGTCATAACTTCATTCCCGATCCCATTCACGCTGGTAATGTATAATATGCTATCGAAACTGATACGGCGCATTGAACTCTTTGTTTCTTGTCTTGATCATCATCTTGGCTTACTCTATTTTGGTAGGTGGATTGCGGTATCATGGTATGGCTCCATTGATATCACATGTCTATGATCTTGGTCTTCTGGAAGCTGTATCACTTCCCCAGACAGAATGCTTTCAAGGTACCCGAATTTTATCCGAAAGTTAATCGATAGGCACTCGGAAAATTAAACCAGTTACTGGAAATTTGGCTCTGCATAAGTGGCCAACAATGCAACAACTGAGTTTCTGTTTGTTTGCAGGTGCTATACAATTTGCTCGATCGGAGGGACTAATACCAGCACCGGAGCCAACACACGCCATAGCAGAAACAATTCGAGAGGCTCTTCGATGTCGAGAAACCGGAGAATCAAAAGTTATTCTCACGGCCATGTGCGGGCACGGTCACTTCGACTTGGCAGCTTATGAGAAGTATCTACAAGGAGGGATGACAGATCTTTCTTTTGCAGAGGAGAAGATAAAGGAATCACTAACCACCATTCCTCAATTGGGTTAAAGTCGTCTCTATTTTCTTCTTTCATAGAGATTAGAAGAAATCTTTCATATATTAAAAGTTGCAAATTTTGTTAATGGATGTGAGTAGGTTTGATTGAAGTTTTTGTTTATGATTTCTAGAAATAAGATCGATCGTGTGTGTCGAATGAAAAATGTTATCAGAATTTGATATAAATAAAATATTTTCAATAATTTTATAACATTCATTAATTAAGTGAGAGAGGTCGTTAACGGACTTATTAGTATTCACATAAAAACTTTCGAACTAATATGAGTTAGTTCAATTGTTCAGATAATTAATATTTAATTATGTTAGACGAACACGACTCTCCACAATAGTATGATATTGTCCATTTTGAGCATAAGCTCTCATGGCTTTGCTTTGGGCTTCCTGAAGAGTTAGTATTCTTCACTTATAAACACATGATGAAAAATTAGCAGTGGGACTTCATCATCCAACAAATTAAAAATAAAAATAAAATTTTATTAGTTATATATATATTTTTTTTGTCGGTAGGTTTAACTAAATTTGATAAAAAATTACGCTTTAAAATTGATTTAAAATATAAAAATTAAGTCTAGTTTGAAAATAAATAAAATAAAATATTTTTAATCTTAATTGATAAAAATAAAGATTATAGGGAAAAAATTAAAAGAAAAATTCCCAAAATTTTAAAATTGGGGCTCTCAATGCGAGTCCCCGGTCTTCTTCTTCTTCTTGCTGAACAGTGGAGTGGGGATTGGCGAAGAAATTCTTCCGACAGGCCATTTTCCCGTTTGTTTAATTCTCCGATTTCAACCTTCGCCGACGAGTTTCAGGTGCCAACTAATTGTTGCTGGTAAAGAAACCTATCAAAAACGTCATCTTTATCTTCGTTATAATTTCTCGAAAACCCTAAAGTTTTCTTTTGGCTACAACGCCCATGTTCCCCTGCATCAATTATTGTTTTCTAGTTTTTTCCGGCACTATTTGATGGAATATGTGATTTCTTTCGTTGGCAACATCAAGAGGTGTTTTTTCTTCATTTACAGCGTGCCAATTTTGGGTTTGGACGTATTGTTGCTGCACATTAAGATTTAGGTCACGAAATGATTGTTGTTTGTGTTGCATTTGGCATCATTGTGGCATGATTTGTATACAAGCTTTTAGCTACTTGGTTGGCACCGGTTCTTTGATTTTAGTTGGTTGTTAGTCAATTAAAGTAATGGAGTTGTGGTAAGATTTTCCTTCGATTTATGCAGGTGACGTCTGGCTATTAAAAATGGGTAGTAAAGGTCGTATTCCGCCTCCACATGCAAGGCGTCCTCTTCCAGGTTCTGGTGTCCTGCATCCAGAAGCATTTGGTCATGGGCTACGTCCTCCGCCCGGTACTTTTCCTCCCTTTGACATGATGCCTCCTCCAGAAGTAATGGAACAGAAGCTAGCTGGGCAACATGTTGAGATGCAGAAACTCGTCACCGAGAATCAGAGGCTTGCTGCTACCCATGGAACCTTGAGGCAAGAGCTTGCTGCTGCGCAGCATGAGCTTCAAATTCTTCATGCTCAAATAGGAGCTGTGAAATCTGAAAGAGAGCAGCAAGCAAGGAATCTTTCTGATAAGATTGCAAAGATGGAGTCAGAACTACAAGCTGGTGAGCCAATTAAGTTAGAGTTGCAGCAAGCAAAATCAGATGCTCAGAACTTGATTGTAGCAAGGCAGGAGCTTATTACGAGAGTGCAACATTTGACCCAAGACCTCCAGAGGGCCCATGGAGACGTGCAGCAGGTTCCAGTTTTGATGTCAGAACTCGAGAGTTTGAGGCAGGAATATCAGCATTGTAGGTGCGTAATCTGTATAGCATTTAACTTTAGAGGGACTTTTTAGGATTTCACATAACTACGTATGTTAGTTCATGTGTAGGATGTCCTGTGAATTCAATCAAGTTCAATCTTCAACTCCTACGGTTCAGTTTCTTTGCATTTTTAACTAGGCCTCTAGCTTGTGGTTATAGAGGCTGCCCTAGCTTGACTTGTTTCCTTAGCTATTTCTTAAAGGCTTATGTATTCTGTTTATAAATGTTAAGCCTAACTGCATTGTCTATCATTTACTGGACCAGAGTTTGATCATAATGTGCTTCAGGGGTTATGTTTCTTGCTTGTAAAATGCCATGACCTAGCTATTGACCTTGCAGGGCGACCTATGACTATGAGAAAAAATTATACAATGATCATCTTGAGTCACTTCAGGTGATGGAAAAAAATTATATCACAATGGCTAGGGAACTGGAGAAGCTTAGGGCAGAGTTGACGAATACTGCTAGTCTAGAAAGAAGACATGGTACTCTTGCTTGCCTCTATTTCACTTTCTGTTGGATTATCTTATCCTTCTCGAATTTTTCTTTATGGACCACTGATATCTGACGACTGCACATAGGTGGGCCTTATGGTACTACCCAAAACAACGAGATAGAAGCTTCTGGGAATCCAGCTGGACAAAATACTTATGAAGACGGCTATGGTGTTGCCCAGGTTAGTCACATATTCCACTTTCTAGTTTTCATGAGTTGATATGTTTGAATTTATAGTACTCTCTTTTTGTATGTTTCTTACTATTTTGATTTAAAAGGAGAAACACGGTGTTATGAGGTCTCTTTCCTATCCACGTTTTATCTAGGCTTTCCTTTGAGTCATGATCGGAGTCTCCGTGGTTTTGGGACTCATTTGTTGAGAATGTTCTGAAATGTTCATCTTTCTGGTGGGAAGCTTTCTTCTCTAGGAGGAGGAGACTTGTTTTAACCCAACCTATACTTTCTTCTTTCTTTTAATTTTTTTCTAGTAAGAAACCAAGTTTTCATTGAGGAAAACTGTAAGGATAATAAGCAAACAAAAAGGCCTATCAAAATACAGCTCAACAAAAAGAGCCACAAAGCTAACCATACAAAAAGGGTCTCCAATCACATCTATACTTTTCCCTTTTTCCCTCGCTTGCTTCATTCCTCTTCCATTTCACGAAAGGCCGGATTCTTCTGCTGGCTAGATGCCCATGGAAGGGTAGACACCTTCAACCGTATCTAAGACTCCTCTTCTATAGTTTTGGGTCCTATGCATTGTTTGAACATGTCATATGACTGGAACTGCAAGATTTGGATCACATTTTATGAAGACACGACTTTACCGTGAAGATTTAGGTTAGATTTTGGTACTTCTTTGGTTTTAGTTTGTCATCAAACGGGACTGTTCATCCACGACTACGTTATTGTATAATTCTTCTTTTGTTTTTATTCTTAACCATTGGAGCATCCTTGGTAATTTTGGCACTGTTTCATTTGGGCTTGTGTTTCTGCACATCCTTTTTATTTCCGTTTCAAGCTATGTTTTTTTAAAAAAAAAAATTTATCTCTATGTATGAGTATATTAGTTTGACATTTCAATGGTTAATATCCTTATAATATATCCTTATGAAGGACGATGAGAGGTGTAGTGCTTCATGTTTGTGCTTTTTTTAGTTTCTAAAATTTTAAAAGTGTCTAATAGATCCTTAAACTTTCTGTTTATTTCTCCTAATTATTTGTGTTTGAAAATGTGCAATAGGGACGTGGCCTGCTGCCTGCTACTGCAGGTGGTGCATCCAGTGCGGGTGCGACTGCATACACAGGACCTCAAACTGGTTCTACTGCAACCAGACCCAACTATGATGCAGCAAGAGGTACCCAACGAGGATCTGGTTACGAAGGAGCAAGAGGATCCATTTACGATTCACAGAGACCTGGTTATGATGGACAAAGAGGACCAGGTTACAATGTGCCTGGGCTACCTACTTATGATGCACCTAGGGGAGGAGCTGGCTATGATGCTCAATCTAGAGGTGTGGGAGGACATGCTGCGCCTGGAAATACCGCACCGTATGGGTCTTCAACACCGCCTGTTCGAGGTGGCGGAGGAAACCCTGGCCGGAGATGAGCCAAAGGTACCATTTGAGAGATAATCTTATGTTGCGTTTACTCATCAGCCTTAGTTGTCATCATCTGTTGTGCCATTCCCTCAAATTTGCAACGCCTTTTTTTTTCATTGCTACTCCTCTCTGTCAACATTGATGGTAAGTTTATTATCAAATGCAGTTACTTGACAAACTTGGAATGAAATCATTGGAGCACCTTACTGAAATCAACGTCAAAATCATATCTGGTTTAATGATTTATCATTTTCAGCTGTCTAATCAATGAAACTTCACGTGATGAACTAAGAAAATCAACTAAATTTCAATTTCTAATCATTCTCTCCCTTCTGTTTAATAAATTTTATTAGTAGGATATGATATGTTATGTTGGATGGTTTACTTTATGAAACTTCCATAAATATAAGTCTAGTTGTATCCGAAAACAAAGTATAACTTAATCTACGATACGATGAACGGATGTTGTAAGAGATTGTATCTATCATTGAGATGATATTGAACTAAAAAGTTCAATAAAACCAATCCAATCAATGATATATATATATATATATATTATATAGCAACCTAGCTGTCATGACAACAAAAAAAGAGCATTATTTTTTGAAGGAAAATCCAAATGAAATTGGGTTTCAATCAATCTATCATTCATGGAGCCTCTCTCCCTTGCCATTGTCTGAACTTTTCAAGGCTTTATTCTTTACATTTCACCTTTTTTTTAGCTCAGTCAATGCCTCTCGCTATTCAACAGGGAATGGTTAAGAAACTTGGGCTAATGAGTTTGCCTATTATAAAGCAAAAGAACAGCCAAGGAAATGGCCAAGCCTTTTGATCACCCTTTATTCATAACCCACTTTTCTAAAAAGAGTCGGATCCTGATCCCCTTCTCCATCAAAAGAAGTGAGATTTCCGAGGATACAACCCATACTACTCGTTTAGAGGTTCGGTTCCTAGTTCCTAGTAGTATCAATTATACAAGTCAGATCTTGATCCCCTTCTCCATCGAAAGAAGTGAGAATGCTGAGGATACAACACATACTACTCGTTTAGACACATCTCAGGATCCATAATCTCGAGACTATGTTCGTCTCTGAATTTTATAATCATTGCTCTCTCTCTCTCTCATATCATTATAAAACTTCCCCCATCTTTCTTTCTCTTCAACTTTTCCACCATTTCTGAGGCTTTTCTCCATGAATCTCCATGGAAATGAGGTTCCCTTGGGGAAAAACTACACCCTTAACAAAACATTAGCCATAGTGTTCACTCTTGTGATACTCACAGTGATTCCCCTGTTATACAATCTTGTAGATTACTACTCTGTTTTCCTCCTCAACAGCTCCCCCAAGTCCCCATCTGATTCATATTCAAGCATTGAAGAGGGTGAAGAGCGTCAGCCATTGCCAATCCAAGAAGAGGAATGTGACCTTTTCACAGGCGAATGGATACCCAATCCCAATGCTCCATATTACACAAGCTCCTCTTGTTGGGCCATTCATGAGCACCAAAATTGCATGAAATATGGACGCCCTGATGGCGGCTTCATGCAATGGCGATGGAAGCCTGATGACTGTGACCTTCCCATTTTCAATCCTTCTCAGTTTCTTGAGCTTATGAGAGGTAAATCTTTGGCTTTTGTTGGTGACTCTGTTGGAAGAAACCAAATGCAGTCTTTGATATGCCTTATTTCCCGGGTACGATACAACTTTTTAGCTTTTTAAATTCATATTCATGCGTGAATTAGTCGATATTATAATGTCTTAGTTCGTCAGATTAGCTAGTTTTTTTTTAATATTAATTATTGGGTTTCGGGAATCCAAACCTTATTTCCAAGACCATCTTTTGACGTTTGTTAATTTACACGAAAATTTATCAAATCTATAATATATGTTTAAACGAGTTGAATTATATATAAAAGAAAGGTTGGGGAATCTTTTTAAGAAGGGTAGAAGGTAAGTAGGGCAAAGTGGAGGCATGCATGTGAACCATCTATGTCCCTTTCATCTCTCTCTTTGTCATCCTTTTTCAATTTTGATTCTTTGTTCCATGTTTGCTTTCTAAACCCAATTCATTGCCTATCATGTCTATATTGTTTTCTTCCTCTCGACTTCTATATATATATATATATATATATGTCCTTTCGTTCGTTAACTATTCCAATTAGATAAATGGGTCCCAGTGAATACCTCACTATACCTAGTCGGGAACATTATATTCTCTGTCTCTGTCTACATATTTATTAGTCTCATTTATTACCACAAGAACCTATTCTCCAAAAATAACTGGGAAATGAAATAGGTGGGTGAGATTATGACTCACTTTGAGGGAAGGGTTCGGTAGAGTTTAAATAAAATATTCTTCAATTTCATAAATTTTCAAATATTATAAAAAAAAGCTATTTTCATTACATCTAATTTCTATTGAAATAATAAAAGATATATGTATCTCCTTTGAGTTAAATAATTTAGTAATAAAAATAAATATTGTTTTGTTTTGACATATATGGCAGCATCTGTCATAAGCATAATCTAACTAAAAAACCCTTTAATTTAAAAATAAAAATAAATAAATTTATTTGCAGCAAATAAAATCCGAATTTAAATTAAAATATTATATATATTTCTCTGACATTTTTGCGACAATGGTGTAATGTGTCAGAATATAAATGAAATATAAAACATTTGACCAACAAATTTTTTTGTGCCTTTAAATTATTTGGTTTTTTAAATAAAAAAAAGACTTTTATTAAATAAAAATTTAGGGTAAAAATTATCCTGATAATTTTTTTTTTTTTTTTTTTTTTTGTTTGATTAATTGTTGAGACATTGGATTGAGGAAGATGGTGTTTCGCAGGTGGAATATCCGATTGATGTGTCGTACACGGCGGACGATAATTTCAAGCGATGGAGTTACGAACGATACAACTTCACCATGGCCATTTTCTGGACCCCTCATCTCACCAGAGCCGCCATCGGGGATACCGACGGCCCCACCAAAACTGGTCTCTTCAATCTCTACTTGGATGAGTACGACGAAGAATGGACCACTAAGATCGACGAATTCGACTTCATCATCATCTCCGGCGGCCACTGGTTCTTCCGTCCTATGGTTTACTACGAAAACCACCGCATCGTCGGCTGCCATTACTGTCTCCTCCCGAACGTAACCGATCTCGGAATGTATTATGGTTACCGAAGGGCCTTCCGGACGGCCTTTAAGGCTATAAACAGCTTGAAGAATTTCAAAGGGATGACGATTTTGAGGACCTTTGCGCCGTCGCATTTCGAGAATGGACTGTGGAATCAGGGCGGGAATTGCTTGAGGACGAAGCCGTTTCGAAGTAACGAGACGCAATTGGAGGGATCTGATCTGGAGTTCTACATGATTCAGATGGAGGAATTCAAGACCGCGGAAAGGGAAGGACGAAAAAGAGGGCTGAAATTTAGGGTTCTTGATACGACTCAAGCTATGCTGCTGAGGCCGGATGGGCATCCTAGCAGGTACGGTCATTCTACTACTGAAAATGTGACTTTGTATAATGATTGTGTGCATTGGTGCTTGCCTGGCCCCATTGATGCTTGGAGTGATTTCTTGCTTGAGATGTTGAAGATGGAAGGGATTAGATCATTCAGGGATAGGCTAGAGTTTGGTTAGATGGGGAAAGAGGCAGTTCTTTTTCATTTTTCAATCTTTTTCCTGAAGGTGTTTTTTTTTTTTTTTTTTACTTCTAAATTCATATTGTTGTTGTTTTGTGATTTGTATAATTGTATCATTGTTCATTTATAAGTTGTATGTATGCAATTAGACATTGTGAAAGGGGTATTAAGACATTGTGAAAGGGGTATTAAGAACATAATTTCATTGAGCAACTTAAGTTATTTGCCTTTGCTTTCTGTAGAGATAATATTATGCAAGTTGCCATCATCAGATTTTATACGTGTAGATCTTTACATCTAATGGACTTAATACTCATTCCAAATCATTCATATACTTTTCAATTACTTTCATGATCTCTTCCCCGAGAGATATGAGGAGAGTACAATGTTTGGTGTTATTTTAGCATTATATCTTTGAGATCTCACATTGGTTGGAGAGAGAAACTATTTATAAGGAGTAAGAAACCTCTCCCTAACAGATGTTTTAAAATCGTGAGACTGATGACAATACGTAACGTGGCTTGGCTTGAGCTCTTACAAATGGTTTAAGAGCCGGACACCGGGCGGAGTGCCAGCAATGACAGGCACCCAAGGAGGGTAGATTGTGAGATTCTACATTGGTTGGAGAGGGGAATGAAACATTCTTTATAAAGGTTTGAAAATCTCTACCTAATAGATGCGTTTTAAAATTGTGAGGCTGACGACGATATGTAATAGGCCAAAGCGGACAATATCTATTAGCGGTGGGCTTGACTTGAGCTGTTACAAATGGTATCAAAGCCAAACACTGGGAGGTGTGCCAACGAGGACGTTGGGTCCTAAGGGGGTGGATTGTGAGATCTCACATTGATTCGAGAGGGGAACAAAACATTCCGGGTGTGGAAACCTCTCTCTAATAGACGCGTTTTAAAATCGTAAGATTGATGACAACATATAACGGGTCAAACCGGACAATATCTACTCGTAGTAGGCTTGAGCTCTTACAATATAGGCTCTACTCCACACCATGTTGCCAAGAACAAAAGAAGGATCACAACTCCTTGCACGTAAAATCTAAAACGCAATGGCTCTTTTTTTTAATCCAAGAAGATTCCATTCTTTCACAAACGTTGTTAATTCAGACTCTACCTTGGTTCTTTGACCTTCATTAGCCATTATTTGAGTCATTATTCCAGTAAATCTCAGTGTAAAGAAAATCAATATCCCATTACAAAGAAGCAATGATTAAACAGACAAACCTTCATTGCTACGCCAAGTTTTTATGACTCTGCTCCCAACATAATCATGAACAGCCTCTATCACTTGTAGACCACACAACAAGCTCATGATTCAGCTCCCTATGCTATGAGGTGTCTCAATATTGAAACTATTTCTATGATTGCTTCAAGTATTTAGCTTAAGTATGAAACTTTACTTGAAATGGTTAATTGATCTTCATTAACCATTATATATATTCAGACCTATGCTATGAGAGAGTTATATCATATATGAGTGAAGACATTTGGTATCTCAACATGAAGCTTCATACTTTTGAGGCTCCAAGTGGAAACAAATCAGTGCTGTGGAATTTCCACAAAGGGATTCTGCTTGCTC